CAGGCCAATTTTGGCATCTGTCTTTCAACTCACCTCAGTCTTTCGAGAGACAAAAGTCTTTATATTGAAACCTCTTGAAAGCTCTTTTCGAATGATTAATTGAAAGATGTGCTAATAGTGTTATTATATTTATCGTTTAGCAATAAGTTTTGTAAAAACTAAACGAAACGAAAAAAATATCTTTTTAAAAGAGGAAAAACTAAAAATTTGAGAAACTGAAAGTAAAGGACAAAAGATAAGATGAATAAAAAAAAATTCCAAACGTTAAATAAAATAAAAAAGTATTTTTTCGGCAATAAAACTAAAAAAAAATTTTTTTTAAAAGAATTCCTTGCCGAGGATTGAACTCGGATCTCTTGAATGGCACGAGCCACTCACTGGGCCATTGCTACTATTACAGTAACGTTATCGAAATTAAAATTTATTGAAAACACACAAAAAATTTCAAAATCATTCGTTAAAAAGTTAAGTAAAGGTTTTTGTTTGCTTAACTTTAATCTATATATTAATGCGCTAACATAAATTTTGTCTCCGTTCGTTTGGCGATTCTACCGAACACCGTTGGAAAGGCATTTTTCCGTAGATGAGCAGAGTTTTTATGGTTTCACAACTGGTGGAAAATTACGTCCAAAACCGTCGTTTAAACATTTTCGAATTGTGTATAGATGTTGCTGCACATGTTCAATTTGACACGTTTCGCCTGTTGTTTCACTACACATTTGAAATTAAGCTTTGAAATAAAGATAAATATGAAGATGAAGAAATAAATGATAACGATGAAGTCAAAAAAAGGAAGGCAGAAGTGAAGATAAAGACGAAAATGTAGACAATGACAGATACATAAGAATTAGGGTAACTGAAAGGGTAAGAACATTTCTTGAACTTATGAAGTGAAACTTCTTTAGCGGCAGTTGGTTGGTTGGGAGTAAATTGTCAAATTTAAGGCGAATAATGCACATGGAAATGGTTCTCAGCGGTTTAGCGGTTTGAGAATAAAAACAAAAACAAAGATGCCTAGAGGTACAGGCAAAAACGAAGATCAAAGTAAATTTAAACACTTTAAGGTGAAGGTGAAGAGGAATATGCAAAAATAAAGATAAATATGAAGAAAAGGATGAGGATATTCTTATCGATATAATAATCGATATTGCTATCGATAAAATAATCGATATTGTTATCGATACTGTTATTAATTAAATAACCGCTATTGTAATCGATATAATAATCAATATAATAATCGATATTGTTATCGATACAATAATGGATATTGTTATCGGTATAATAATCGATTAAATAATTGATTTTGTTATCGATTTAGTCATTTACATATATTGTTAACGATATGTACAATAAGCGATACTGATGATTGTTATATTTGTCGCTGAATTAATCGATTTTACAATCGTTGTATTTTTCTATATGTGTATGGATATTGTTATCGGTATTTTTATCAACGCAGTTATCAACAGGGTTATCGATACACTAATCGGAACATGGAATGTGATCACAATACATGACATCACATCACATTTTATCACATGATATGAAGAGACATCACATGATTTTGCATCGCATAATATGATATCACATCACACGATATCACGTGACATGACATTATATGATATAACATCACATTATATGGCATGACATCACATGACGACATCACATGATATGACATGACATGGCATTACATGACGTGGCATCACATGATATGACATCATATGGTATGACATCATATGACATGACATCAGAGGATATGACAACACATGACATGACATCCTATCACATCACATAAAATAACGTCACATCTTATCACATCATCGCACCTCATCACATCTACGTGAATAGAAAAAGAAAAGGATATAAGCAAAGATGTGAAAGATAAAAACAAAGATGAAGACCAAGGTAAAGTTACCGATTTCAAAACCAAAAACACCGTTGGAAAGTAATTTTCTGTAGATGAGGAGAGTTTTTATAGTTTCGAAATTGGTTGAAAATCGTCGTTTAAAAATTTCCATATTTGTTAATGGTTGTTTTTGCAACCTGTTTAATTCAAGCGTTTCGCATTTTGTTTTACTTCGTATTTGAAATTAAACTTTGAAATAAAGATAAATATGAAGATGAAGAAACAAGTGATAACGATGAAGACAAAAAAAGGCAAAAGTGAAGATAAAGACGAAAATTGAGATAAAGGCGAAAATGGAGACAATGAGAAATACATAAGAATTAGGTTAAAAGAGCTGAAATTTTCCGATAGGAATCGAAATAAAATCAGCCATAAAGGTTACTGAAATTTATCGAATCATCGAAGTTTATAATTATCGAAATTTATCCATGCTTATTAAGTTATCGCAACGTATCGAATTATTCAAACTGATCAATGTTTACTGAGTTGTCGAAATTTATAGACACAGAAACTTAGTTGTCCAAATTTACGGATAGTTATCGAGCTATAAAAACGGGTGGGATTAACGTAATTTGTCAAGTTAAAGAAATTTATCAAGTTATCGATATTTATTGAATTATCATTATTTATAGACTTAACGAAATTTATCGAGTTGTAGTAATGCATGGAGTTCTTTCAACTTACAGTTATCGATAATTATTGATCTACTGAAATTGGTTGATTCATCGAATCGAAGTTTATGGAATTTTCAAAATACATCCATTAATCGAAATTTCAAGATTATATAAGCTTATCGATTTATCACTTCTTATCGAATTTTATCGTGCTAACAGAGTGTAATGAGTTATAAAAATTTTTCGATAGCTTTCGAAAAATGTGGAGCTGTCAAAAGTAAAAATTTTTAAAGGTATCCATAGAATTTACATTTTTGAGTTATCGAAATTTATCGAGCCCTCGAATTTCACAGTTATTGAGTCGAGTTAACGAATTTTGTTGAGTTATCGGATTTTAGTGTTTTTGAAATTCATCGAACTATCGATATGTATCAAATCATTAATATTTATCGATAAAGTGGAATGTATCGGGTCAATTCTAAGTCCTGCTGAAGTCCAAAGACCTTCTAAGATAAAAAAAAATTTAGTTTCGTTTTAGTTTCAAAGGAGAAGATGTTCCGGTAAGTTAATTTGTACCGTATAAGTTTTGGTACGTGTTACGTTAGAAACCCTCTCCAAGGCTCCTAAAAACTAGAAAAACTGTCGAATTTCGACAGTAACTGGCACTCTAGTGCTCATTAAATGCCGTTAACGAATCATTAAGGAAGGAACTTTTTTCAAATCGTTACTGAGGGACACCTTAAGTAATCATTAAACGACTCTGAGTGTGGCTGTTAGAATCATTTCAAAACAAAAATAAAGTAAAGTTATTTTTTTAAATAAAAATTTATTTTAAAACCAGACCTGTTAAATAATGATTAAAAATTATAATGATTATTAATTAAAGCATGTTTATTGGATAACCGTTTAATGATTAAATACCATTATTTGCACCTTTTCAATGAATAATAATTAATTACTTTCAAAAAAACAATTGATTAATTAATTAATCGATTTTAATTAGACCATTATTTTATTATTTTTGATTATTTTAAATTATTTTTATTTCTTTTTTAACATGATAAATATAATTATCTGATTATTTTTGATTCATTTTAATTGCATGATTAATTGATTAGTTTCAATTTTTTTTTAATTTTTTAAATTAAATTATTAGTATAGTTCTTTTTGATTATTTAATTACATGATTATTTTGGATTCTTTTTAATTGCATGATTAATATAATTATTTGATTAGTTTCAATTGGTTTTGATTTTTTTTAAATTAAGTGATTAGTATTATTATTTTTTATTATTTTGAATTATTTTTTATTATTTTGAATTATTTTTTATTATTTTGAATTATTTTTTATTATTTTGAACTATTTTTGGTTTTTGTTTTCAATTTTATGATTTATTTCAACTTATCGTCACTAGACACGAATAAATTCGCGCTAGTGTTACGACGGCGAAAAAAGACGCATACAAAAAAATTTTACGAAAAAAGGCGCTTAAGAAATACTTCGGCGAAGAAAGACGCGTAACCTAGTTGACGGCGAAGAAAAACGCGACATCATAGATCTATGCTTGGCCAAGGACTGTCACTTCAGCATTATTCCCCAAAAACTATTTACGGAATGTACATACTATTACACCGGCAAACATAGTTGACCGCGAAAATAAGTTTACGCGACCTTCTTCGCCGTCAAATATTTTAACGCGTCTTTCTTCGCCGTCAACTATGTTGAGACTTTCTTCGCTGAAGTTTTTATCGTGCGCATTTTTTCGCGGTCAACTTTTGAGCTCGCGCCTTTTTTCGTGTCTAGTGACGTTATGAATAATACATTGCAACGCTGTTAATATACATATGATGAGAATCAATACAGTAATACAAGGAAAACAACAAAAGCGCAAAAATGCTAAAACCAGCACTATTTGTTTTGTTATTTTATTTGCTAATTTTTTGTAAAAATAGTATCCATCTACAATAAACACGAAAACTACACATATGTACATCAGATTTCCAAATTTGGTGTAAAACTTGGTTTCAGTTATACATTACCTTAATATAGAAAGGCCCTAACTCATTTTCATTTCGAATCCAGATCTATACAAAATCTGTCAAATAGCTCACAATATATATAATAGAAATTTAAAACATATATTACAGCGTTAGACGAAATTCGAAACTGTAGATAAGGCCTTTCTATATTAAGGCCACACAGCTTCATCTATTTGGAAAAATAATCATTTATTAGAAATAATCAAATAATGAAACAATTAAAAACAATCAAAAAATTTAAAAAATCATTTGATTAATTTGATTATTTCTAATTATTTGATTATTTTTAATTATTTGGTTACATTTGATTATTTTTTAATGGCACTTATCAGGATTAATTTTGATTATTTTTAATTATGATTAATTATTAATTGCTGGGTTATGTAAGAAAATTAAAATAACCATTAAAATAAAAGAATCAAAAAATTAAAAAAAAAATTATGATTACTAATCTCAATGGAAATTTAACAACTCTGTGTAAAACATCAGTAAGAATTTTGGTATGACAGTAGAATTTTCGACTGGATAAACACTTGATTACATTCAAGGCTTAAGTAAAGAGGAGACAAAATTATCATTATGCGCATTCCATTTATACCTGTTTGCTGCTGAATATTACACCTAAGATTATCAATCCACCTTTGCATTATTGCTTTGAAAGACATTGCAAACACAGTTTCTCATTCTGTTTCTATATATTTTTTATATTTGCAGATGTTTTCAAATTCGATGAACAGTATGAAACTAATGAAGACAAATACAAAGGTCTTAGTAAGGAGATATTGGAAAGTGAAGCAAGTGGTAGTGACCCTGGCTCTGGCTCTGGCAGCGGCTCTGAGAGTGAGTCGGGCGATTCATCAGATTCTGAACAAAAAGGACAAGACGGCGATCAGGTTACAACCGGTGATATTATCGACAACACCGAAACTAATATCATTGCTTTAAGGCGTACTATATATCTTACAATTAATTCAAGTCTTGATTATGAGGAATGTGCACATAAATTGATGAAAATGCAGCTCAAACCAGGCCAAGAGGTTGAACTCTGTCACATGTTCCTTGATTGTTGTGCAGAGCAACGCACCTATGAAAAATTTTATGGATTATTGGCACAACGGTTTTGTGCTATCAACAAAATTTACATTGAACCATTCGAAGAAATTTTTAAGGACACTTATCAGACAACACATCGATTAGATACAAATCGATTGCGGAACGTGAGTAAATTTTTCTCGCATTTACTATTTACGGATGCCATTAGTTGGGATGTGTTGGAGTGTATCAAGCTAAATGAAGATGACACAACCTCATCTAGTCGAATCTTTATAAAGATACTCTTTCAAGAATTAGCCGAATATATGGGACTGGGAAAGCTTAATACTAAACTCAAAGACAATGTTTTAACCGAGAGCTTAACTGGTCTTTTTCCTAAGGATAATCCTAGAAATACTCGCTTTGCAATTAACTTTTTTACTTCAATTGGCTTGGGTGGTTTAACTGACGAGTTAAGGCAGTTTTTGAAGAATGCTCCAAAATCTGTGCCAGCAATTAAT